ATTAATTGACCGTTTATTGTTAATGCAAAAAAATTATAAGTTTTATATTGAGTGAAAAAGTGTGCAGATACTTTTGTTCACCCTCTGTATATCTGAAGAATATGTGATAAAAGAATAGTTTTTAATAAATTGATGACATTTTTAACATAATTTCAAGTTCATCTGAAAAAATAAATAATGTAATCAAAAGAATTTTTACTACACAACTAGTATAAAACAATATAATTGATATATTAAAAAGCTCAAAAAAAGCTGATGCATTCATATAATAAAGTTGCCTATTAAAAATATAAAAAAAACTTTTCATTAAAAATAATTTTATTAAATCAAATAATAATGGTAAAAAGTAGCTAAAAAATACTTACTCACTTGTAAAACTATATTATATATCTGACACATTAAACTTATTATAATATAGAAAATGTATGACTTCCTAGTTCTTAAGTTAAATTTCTGCAAAATTGCTTTTTCTTGACCTAAGAAATTATATTTATTGATGACTTTTATCAATCATTTAAACATTAATTTTCTATTACGAGTGCCAAGTATAATTTCCTAATTTTGTTGAAAGAGTTTTAAGATATAATTATAATTTAGATTACTTGATTGATCTATAAGCAGTTTTATTAATTCTTGTTCATTTATAAAACTCTGAATAGTTCAGATTAATCTGAAGATTTTTTAGATTGATTCAGTTCAGATCAGTTTCAGATTGCATAAAAATCGATCTGAAAATTATCAGTTTGGTTCAGATTTTTTTCAGATTATAATTCTAATCCAAACTGAAAAAAATCTGAACTAAACTGATAATTTTAGATTAATTTGAAAGTTCAGTTTAATTATATACGAAACTCTTGAAGGATCACAAAATTTGCGAATTCTTTAAAAGGATCGCAAAAATTTAGCGAAACTTTTAGAGAATTGCAATTTTTTGCAATTTTTCTTTGAATTTCGCAAAAAAATTGCGAAAACCTTGGAGAATCGCAATTTTTTGCGATTTTTCTTAGAATTTTGCAAAAATATTGCGAAACTCTTAGAGAATCGCAAAAAATTGTGATTTCTCTTTGAATTTTGCAAAAAATCGCGAAACCTTTAAAGAATCGCAATTTTTGCGATTTCTCTTAGTATTTTGCAAAAAATATCGCAAAAAATATCACGAAATTCTTGGAGAGTTGCAAAAAATTGCGATTTTTCTTTGAATTTTGCAAAAAATGCAAAAATCTTGAAGAATTGCAAATTTTTACAATTACTCATTGAATTTCACAAATTTTTGCAAACCTCAAAAAGAAATTCGCAATTTTTTGTGATTCTTCTAGAGTTTCACATATAAATTGCAGATTTCTTATATAATCGAACTATAATTTTAGATTAATCTGAAAATTCTGTTTCAGTTTAGATTTTTACTGGTCTGCAGTTCAGTTCAAATTCAGATTGGCATTTTTAAGATTAATAATTCGAACTGAACTAAACCAAAATTTTCAGTTCAGATATAGATTGGCATCTAATCTAAACTGAACTGAACTGATTAGAGCTTTATTCATTCGTAATACTAAAATGAAACTCATCCTTATAAGAATATAACATCAATACAAGGAATGTCTATCTTTTAATAATTTCAAGTATCTTTCATGAACTCCTTTCTTAACATGCTAAAAACTAAATGCTTTTATCAAATTAATTATGTGATTGTGAGTAATTTATATTAATTTCTAGCAGATGATTTAATGATTCTTTTTATTAATTCTCTAATTGAAGATGAATTATTGTTTTATAATTTATATTTCATATCTAAGATAATTGTAAATGCTTTATTTTATGATCAGCTTACTTTTTCTTTTTTTTCTTTACTTTATTACTAATGACATTTCTTTAAAAAAATTTTTATTTTTCTTTACTTCAAAACTTTTGTTCTGTAACATTGTCATTTTTGAATGAAATTTAAATGCAACAACCATTCAGATGCTTTCTCTTTATTATTAATATTTATAAATATGTCTAGCTCAAATTATACTATTAAAATTTCTCTGATATTTGATGAAATGGTAATTCATTAAAGTTTATGATAAGATATGTGTAATGTTAAGGAAGTATCAGTTTTAAAAGTTTAGGCAGAGAATTTCAAAAAAGGACCTAAAAATTAATTTCCATTTATTAATAATGATGCATTAATAATGATAAATTAATTTATAATGATAAACTAATAATAATAAATAAATGCTATTTAAAAGACAATAAATAATGCTACATAATTTACAAAAGTACAGTTTTTAAAATATATTTTATTAGTATTTTTAACAGAATATATTTCAAAAATAAAAATAAAAAACTTTATACAAAAATTATACTACATGCTATATTATTTTTATTAAAAACTCAGTTTTTTTTGTTTTAGGATATATTTATAAGTTTATTAACAGAATATACAGAATATATGTTTCTAAAATAATGAAAAAGCATGTTAACTAACCCATGTCACAGTGATATTGACTTCCATGCTGTTTCACCGAATCAGGTTGAGTTGTGTAACTTGATTTCTTTATAAAATCAAAGATTTTTACACATAATAGGGGTGTTCAATTCTGATGGATATTTTTTTGATGCACTCAAAATTAGCCAATCAAAATCCGATTTTCAAGTTTGCATCACATGCATTTGATGCACCAAAATTTGCATCAACCAAAATTGAACAGGCCTAATATATATATAAAGAAGGTATTTTTGAAACACAGTTCAAAGTTAAAAAGTGTGGGGGAAAAAAGAAAACTGTCGCGATGTTGATTATTATTACGCTAACGCGATATACTATTTGCTGCGGTATAGTTAACTGACTTCGGTAATTTTGGGCCGGCAACTAACGGCCGGCATTATAGAGTGTGGCTGAGGCGCGGTTGCTGTGCCACCATAGTATCATCAAATGAGAAATTACGCGTTTTGCTTTTACTGTATATAACTGTATATTTCTTTCTCACTCTGTTTCATACAATGATGGAACCTTACGTTGGTTACTCGGGTAAACTTGAATGACCTTAGAAAACATTTCTTAATTTTTTAATTATTAACTTGTTCTAAACGTTCTAGAACTTGCTCGTTACCTGAAAGACAATGACAAGGCAACGTGGTCCTATGCTGAATTTCTGACACTCCATCGTGATACTCTCCTTAAGTCACCACCTTATTTGGACGAATGGTTTCATCTCGATGGTCGCTGGGCTAATGTTTTTTATACGAAGTACGAGAGCTGGATCCAAGCAATTTCAGCATCATGGAAAAGAGGGTGGTGCATCTTATATTTTTATTTTTATATTTTGCCTAGGGAGCTCCTGTCCGCTCTCATCATGATTAGGAGTATTGGCTCTCTTCCCAACCCGAGTGATGAATTGGTGGCACTCCTTTTCTGCTCTCATCATGATTAGGAGCATTGGCTCTCTTCCCAGCCACTATCATTGCGAAATCGCTTTTACTTGAAGTTGGATCTTTTCTTTTAATGAAAAAAGTTGTATTAAATTGTATACTCCGTTCCGCAGGTAAAATCTGAACGTGCAAACAATAGATTCCAGCTATATTGGGAGGAAATTATATATGAACGGAAAGAGGTAATGTAAACTTTAATTCCTAGAAGTGACTTCATACAAGCATAGATTTGATTTTGTTTATGTCGCAAAAAAGATATTAGCAAACCAAACACATCTAAATGCAAGTATGGACTTGCTGGGTATTGCTGGAAAACAAAATTTTCAACAAATGACCTCTAAGGGTTGTCTAAAGACCTTCGGCGAAACCAATGAACTACAGATGTTATATACGTAAGTTGTGTTATCTCAGTCTTTGTTATATCTATAATTAACTCATATCACTCACTTGGTTCAAGCGAACCTCAGGAAACAATTTTAGACTTCGAAAACAATCCATTTCTGGACAAAGAAAACAAGGACGAGGTATTATAATTCCAAAGTTTTGACACAAAATCAAGATGACCCTAATTAGTATGGCAAATGATCTTTTTTAGGATCGTGAATTGCCGAACTACTCCATATCTTCCGAATCTGAATTAGGTGATGCATCTGGGTGCTCCGACAATGGAACTCTTGAAAATGGTAAAGATATCAAAGAAAGTCTTGAAAGTGAAGAGGACGGTTTCATGAACGATCATGCCAAATTAGAACATAAAGTGAAGTTTCGCAATATGCATATCGATAAGAAGTGGAAGTTGCCTTCGGGCGATTACGTCGAAAATATTTTGTATGAACATGCAAAAGATTTACAATATGAAGATCAATTACATAGCTTCATAATCGACACCAGCAATGATGCTATAATGGATCTTTTCAAAGATGTTGACCATGATCATATAATTACATACAATACTTCTCCCGAACCTGAATTATCAGATGAATTGATTAATTATCTTATGAGATATCGTAAATTTCAGCCTAGCGAAATGTGAGAACTGGTCAATTCCGGCATCAATATTTCTCCCTATGATTCAAAAAAACATTTTAATTTTCACTATATCCATCAAGTTTTTTCGCAACTCCTTCCCAGGTACGAATTGAGACCGAATGACTTCACAAGAGGCCATTTAGAAGGATGGTTTACCAGTAATATTTGGAGTGTCATAGTTGATGCCTGCTTTATTGATCTCGAGACAATTGAATTTATCCGAGGCGAAGGCTGTTCTGGTGCATCAAGACAGCGAAAAAACCGTGAAAGAAAGAATCCGAAGGTCAGGAAGATCATGGGACGCAAGTGTGATGGGATTGTACGTGATTTGGGATCGCCAGAAGAATTTGCAGTTAGTGAAGAAGGTCGCACTTGGACCGGAGAAGACGGTACCAAATATTTATCTGACGGTTCATTGAAGATGCCAAAAATAATGCGCGATATGCTATTTCAAAAAATTAAAAAGCACGGTGTTAGTTTTGTCAAAAAGAATCAGATCGAAATTGTCGGATTTTTGCATTCCGGTAAATATTTTTTGATATAATGTATACCTTTTTATATACTGATCAATGTTATTATATTAAGCTCAATACCTACAAATGCTTGTGATGGATATTCCATCTGGATACATATGTCGGCTTCGTAGATATCCTCTTAGCCAGGTACCAACTGTTCTTTCTGAAATTGATGATCTTATTTCCGTGGTCTACGATGTGCTTATTGCAAAGGTAATGGTCTATTAAATTACCAACCAATATCATATATAGCTTATACTTATCTATTATTATCCAGCTCCGAATTACTCGATGTTTGGAATATTCAAATAACCCAAGTGATAAAACTTCGATTAACAGCAATGAAGCTTTAAAGAAACGCTTAAAGAAAAAGTCTATAAACCGACAACAAGAGAATGATGATTACGAATTTCCGAGTTCACAGAAGACTCCCAAAAAAAGAAAGATTGAAAAACCCAAAAAAGTCTGAATAAGAAACTCGGGTTATTATATTTGTTTTTACTGATGGTATCATCTGCGCAACGAAACTTTAATAAGATTCTTATCAAGATGATTAAATGCTATATTATCAATAAAATACCAAGTAAAATTAATAGCTTCATCTGCAAAGTTAATAAAGTCTATTTGATTGCATTTGTGAAAAGTGATCGGCGTGAACAATTGTTCACGCGCACGTGATTTTTTTCTTGGTGAAGGAAAATTTACGTTCATCAAACGAAAGTTGGACTTTACAAGTTCTTAGCCGTTTTTTGTTACTATTATCAATAAAGTTTAACCAGTTCGGCCATTTATTTTTCCATATATGTTATAATATTTTTAATTGATACTGACTACTGCATGATTGGTGGACACGCATGTCCAGATTTTTTGATCGATACTAACACTGCTTAATTAAATGCTATATGACTGTTCAACGAACAAATTAAACTTCCCTCGCCGATCATCTCGTGATTTAAGTTGCGGGGAAGTCTTTTTTCTCAAAAAATATGTCTGACTTATCACCCCAAAATCTCTGATTGAGGGGGCGGGATCGTTCAATCTACATGGTGAATATATATGCATAGCACAATCCGAATAAAAATGAATGTGATATTTTATTATAATATACTTGTTACAAACCGATAAATCACTATAAATCATATCGATATAAATCAACAAAATCAGTGGAATTGCTATAAAGTATTAAAAAAACTATAATTCACTGTAATTTGCTATTTTATTGCTTAAACACTTATAAAAATAGATTTAAATAGTAAAGCCTATTTTGAGTTTTATTCACCTAGTCTTAAAGAAGGTGATGAATATCTAAGAATAAGAGACGCGATAGACCTTTTATTAAAGAGACATAATCACAAATCATCAGAATGTGATGCTCTCATATTCATGATCCATTTAGAAAAATACTTGAAGATAACCCAAGAATCTTTTCTAAGAATGGATATATTAAAATGTCTAGAAAGGTTTATAAAAATGGAAAAGTGAGTTACGATTATATAACAAATTATAAATATTGTAATAATATGACTCCCTAGTATTCATATCTAAAAAATGTTATGATGCTTATCGATATTGAGATAACCGTTTGAAGATATGTATTACTAGAGATACTATTTCAAATGAACATACAAAAAGAAAAGAAATTCTTCCTGGCAGTATAAATAATACATATTAAAAGGAGAGCTTGAAATAAAGTGTCTTTAACTAAAGCTTTTATCCCAATCTTTTTTACACTCAAAGAAGGATAAATTGATATCAATATCATATGATAATAATAGTTATATTTATAATTAACTATAAATATATACACAGATTAAAATGATCATAATCAAAAATACTATGCAGAAGAAATATAAAAAAAAGGATAAGCTAACTACATCATTGTTACAAAAGTCTATTATATTAATAGACAGTCTCAAGAGATACTATAGTATAAGAGTATCTGAGATTAAAAATATTTGGAATGATCAATCTAATATGCCTGTCTATTATAGTAGAACTAGCTTAGATAATTTTACTGAAGCATATTTTGATTTTGTATAAAAAATACAAAGAAGAAAATAGATTTAATTTATTTTGATTAAATATTACTTTACAAAAATATATTTATTTATAATACTGTATATAATTTATCACATGATTTATTTTTTCTATACTCACTCTGTTGTAATATATATAAGCATATATAACATGAATTAATATATTTTCAATCATTATTAAAATATATATAATGTAATAGGTAATACTCTACAAATCATCTGTATGACTATTACTTGTGCAATGAAATATTTTCACACATAAAATGATTCTTAAATATATTTATATTTTTTCTTATAATACTTAGCAGAATAGTAATTACTAAGGTTGCTAGATAAAATCTAAAGGTTTTGCAAATTATCTAAATGGAAAAAGGTAAAATTTAGCAAAATTATATTAAAATCTTATTAAAAATCTACGAATTTTTGAAAAAAGGTAAAATTATATCAAAGTTTATAAAAATGTTAAACTATATCAAAATCTTAGTAAAATTATAGTTTATACATTTTGTCAAATTCAAAATAGGTTTAGACAAGCAATCTTAGCAATTACTAATAAATATATTTGCATTGAAAGAACAGGTTATTTCTATTATATTTTAAAATAAAAATATTTATATAATGTTACTAGATCTTAGTATTAGATGATTAAATAAGCAAAAAAAATTTATATATATTACTTTTAACACCTTTGAAAATATTATAATCTTTAATATATATTTCATATACCTTTATTTCAAACACAAAATTTTGGTATAAGAGTCCATTCTCCTATTCTTTTTTTCACCATAAATGTAGATTCAGAAAAGACATAAATAGAGTCATTTAAAAGGATAGTATATTAAAGTATAAATATTTTTATACCTTATATATATATTTTTTATTATATTTACTGAGTTATACACTAAAATTTACAATTTCTTATTAAATACTAAGGAAGCAAATATTATAGTTAGATCTATTATCTATTAAAAAATCAAAGACAATCTATAGATATCTCAAAATAAACTAAAAAGTATTATTAAGCAAACTGTGATATTTGTAAAGAATTAATATGAATAAGGCTTCTCATTATTCTTCTCAAAATTCTATTAAAAATAAGATATCAAAGCTTTGAGTAATTAGAAAATTAATTTGATTGATAAATAATAATACAGTTAGGTATAATAGACTAAATATTCTATTAACTTACTTATAGGATTTTTTCTTAACAATGTAAAAAGTAGTTAGATTATAAGTATATGCTTAATTTAATACGATTATTATAATATTATATAAAATCTTTATTTGAGTGTTAGAGTAGCTAACTATATAAAAATATGACTTTATTCTAATCTAAAAATACATGTGTTTTTATTAATTATTATATATATATATATATTCAAATTAATTAATTATTTACTTATGTTAATTTAAAATTAATTTTAAAATAATTTGTAGTTTATGTAATATCAGTACGGTAAAAATAAACTTCTTAATTTAGATAAAATTAAAAAATATTAAGGAGATAAAGAGTAAACTTAAAAAAATATAATATAGCTTTATTAGTATTTATTTTTAGATGTAAATAAAGTATCTATTTCTGAATTAATCTAGAAAGACCATCCTTAACTAATTAAGTAATTAGTGATAATTTAGTTTTAATACAGAATTTGTCAGAATAATTAAGAGATTCTTTTATAATAAAATTCTTTTTTTCATACAATCATATATTTTTTTAATTTAGACATTTTGTAAACATAAAACTTATAATTTTATTCTTGTATTTAAATTAATAATACATTATAATAATATTAACGATAATACATCTTTTAATTTATACTATTATTAGAAGATATAGTTCTTTTACCACTTTCATAAATTATATAGAAAAATGTAAAGAATTCATAATTAGCTTTATTGAGAATAATATGAATATTTTATTACAAAATTTTTATATAATAGGAATTAGACGATAAGCTTATAAAAGTCATATTAAGAATTTTAAATTTCTTACACAATTCATAAAATAATCTTACATTATTTTTGAGTTTGTGAAATCATAAAATAAAGATACTTATATAATCAATATAATAGTAACTATTATTTAGACTATATTAAAAGGTCTTTCTTTAGAAAGGTCATCTTATATTAGTACGTAAGTTATAATATAATTTAGAAAGTGATATTACAGAAACTTCTAGACTAATATTAATATTATTATTCTTTTAATACTAAATGGTAAAGTTTAGTTAGTGTAGATAAGAAAAGTAAAATATGAACAGAAAGATGATTAGATATTATATTTATAATAAAGCATGATAAAAAAAATATAAGCTCATATATGTTGAAAATTTATACTTATCTTATACATTATAAAAGAAAAAGGATGATAAAATAAAGTTATAATGTGAAACTAATAATAGGATGTATTAAGTTTAAAAAATTGTTTAAACCAGAAAAAAATGAATTCAGAATTATTGAATATATTGTATAATCCTGAAAATAAACATCTTGTAATATGCTCTTTTATAGTAATTTATTTATTTGTTATCTAGAATTTATTATATTATTAGTCACATATATATTAATAAATTTATATATATCATGTGATGCTTATTTTTGAGATTATATAGTAAGTTATCAGGTGAATAATATTCTTATTAGAAATGTAAAAAATGTGCATTATTATTACCATTTTTATAAAGTAGAAATTCTTGTGTAATGATCAGATTAATTTATTATAATAAATTTTATAAAGACTGTTAATTCTACGAGATATTTTAATAGTTAATATATCTTTACTACTTAATGTATTCTTAATTAGTTTTAAAAGAAATAAGATAGTTCAAATGTAAATATGAATAAATAAGACTAATAAGATTTATTAATCCAGAACGAAGTGAAAGACTATATATATCTAGACCTAGTATCTGTCTGTCTGCCCGCTCATATTATGAGTCAATACATGATTAGTTCCTTTAATTACATGATTATTACACAATCATTAAAAAGCAAGAACAAGAAAAAAAATTTTTGTCGCGTTATCAACTTTTTTATTTTTGTTTTGAAAAAAAATTTATGTTTTCGCTTTTACGAAAAATATAAAAAAAAACTTTGCCGTCACAAAAAAATAAAGAAAAACATTAATATTTCGTTTGTTGCATTATCTTGCTATTATGAAAAGTAACTGCTTTTCTTCTTCCTTTCTTTCTTATAATCTTTTGCATTTTTTAATGCGTTCGATTCTTTCATAACTGAACTGCTTGAAGTAAATATCATTAAGTGAACACACTCGTGATGATATGACAAATGAGAATCTAGTAGCGAACTCTTTATTTTTAAGATTTATTTTGGCCTTTTCTAGCATCAATCTCTGGCTCTTATACACTGTAATAGCCCACGCAAGATATATTGGCACCTGAATTTGAGAATACAACACACTTTTACCTTCTCA